ACTGACAAGAACAAAAGACACATGGAGAGACGTAAAATGTGTGAGCTAGGGGGTCGGACGACGGTAAATATTGTCCCCCCCGGCCCCCATGTAGTGAGTCCACGGTTGCTGTTCTCCTGGTAGGAACCTCTCCAACCACCTCTCTCCCTCCTCCTCCCCCATCTCCTCCTTCACCCTCGTCTCCAGCGTCTCCACAAAGACAGTGAAGTGCGGAGGAAGATCCTGGATCACTACCTCCTCGCTGCTCCTCGAGTTCGTTCTCCAAGACACCAGGTAGGCAATCTCCAGTCGCCCGTCCTTGTCAAGGTCTCCAATTGCAGGGGTCGAGACAATCATCTCGGGGATCATGATGTGGCTGCAGCGGAGGTCTCTGTCAGAGCTGTTGGAGCTGCTGGAGGTATGGCTGGGGTGAGGTCCATCGTGTCTCTTCTCCCGGTAACCTGAACTGCAGTCACCAGCGAATGAGATGTGAAACGTGTTTCTCATGTGACAACTATATCCTGTCCCTATATTATAGCATGTAACATAGATCATTGCCTCACCATACCTGTTTACAGTAGTTTAGACGGTAAACTTACAGTAGACAAAAGGTCCTCTAGAGAAGAGAGGAGGAAGGGAGTGAGACAGAGAGAGCCTCCTGTGGCGAGGGTGGATGTGTACAGAGCGGCAGTCAGCTCCTCTCCTCCAGCCACAGTAGTCAGAGAAAGGTCGGGAGGCTCCACACAGTCAGGGAACGCAGGTGCCAGCTGCCCGTCCACCAGTCCTGTCGTGCGGTAGGCCAGAGCCCTCGCATGAACTCATCGATCTGTGGTTCTGCTCCTGCTTTTGTGCGTCTCCAACAAAATCATCGTCTTCTTCTTCCTCATCGTCTGGCTCTCCTGGTGACCAGCGTTGGATCGGTGAGGGCATCGTGTCCGCCTCTCTCTCACTCCTTCTTCCAGCACTGATCTCACCTGACAACAAAACCACAACTGTTTCAGTCACTCTTACATTACTTTAGCAATACGAACAATACTTTAGCAATTATTTTGTGGTTCCCTGAATAAATTTTCACCTGGTCAGTGAGTTGTTGCTTGTGTTGTTGTGTATGGTTCCCATGGTGTGAAAACTGCTGCATCAGCTCCAGGCTGGGTTGCCGCTAGCGACAGGCCCGACATCATCCCAGTCTTGACGGAGCGTAAACTCCAGAGGGTGTCTCCGTTTTGTCCTTCCGAACGCGGTGTGGACTGGTTGTATGTGTCCCACTCTCCATAGTTGAGCCTCACCAGGAGGTCGGGGACCGTGTCCGAGTTGAAATAGAGTGGAGCTGGAATACTGGAGAGAGAGAGAAGAGAAAAGATATGTCAAAAGGAAGAGAATATTTGATTCAAAATCGCCAAGAGGATTTAAATGCAAAAACATAGGCAAAATATTTCAATTTTATATGTCATGTTGTTGCTCAAAGTTTGTTATGTAGCTGTAATTCTCACCTGTAAGACTCAGTTCCAGGAGTGAAGACTTCCCACACCACCTCGCCTGTCTCTCCATTAATTACCAGGGTCTTCCCCTCAAACAAGGACACGACGAGGTCGTCTTGCTCGTCCCCAGTCATGTCGACCACCACAGGAGGCAGCAGAACCCCTTTCTCCTCTCCAGACACCAGACGATGCACACACAGACCAAACCTGTTCCAAACAGGTTCGTGAGGACCCCAGGACGTGCAGCCAGAGAACACAGAATCTGTGCTGACATTTCTGCCAGCGTCAAAAGACCCTGAGTCAAACGTCGGCCTCTGTTCCTCCATTTCTTCCTCTGACATGTCCCTCTCACAGGGATGGTTGATGTACCCGGTGAATGGAGTGTAATTAGTGTGCCCCTGCGCTGATAGGTATTTAGATATTCTCTCTCGTAGACTGGTGTAGCCAAAAGCCCAGAGTGATCCTGGGAGAGACTCACCACCTGTACCAACTAGCACCACATCCCCCTGTCCTCCCCGAGATAGGTAGACGGGAGAATTGTACGTCTCCTGTCCGTCAGGAAGGGGCACCCTCTCCATTAACTGCTGCCCCGTTCGTCCTGAAACAGCCTCAAGAAATCCAGTTGAGCGGTTGGTGTCACTATCACGATAGGTTGAGTCACCTCCGTGAGTGATGACAATATCCTGGACGTCGTCTCCGTCGAGATCAGGGACAAAGAGAGGAAAGTAGAAGTTGTAGCGAAGGAACGCTAGCCTCGGGTCTCTGTCCCACAGCACAGAGCCGTTGGAGCCACGGAGAGCACGGAATCCACTCTGCCTCCCTGCTGCAATGCAGTCCACCAGACCATCTGCGTCTAGGTCGACCTCACACCGCACGGCAAAGGCATCGTAAGTGACGTTTGCCTCCCACACCGAGGTCCCCGTGAGCCCGTCAAGCACCCTCACCACCATCTCACACTGTCCCCTCCCCTCCACCATCACAAGGTCACTCACACCATCCCCACTCACGTCCTTCAGCTGGAGCGCTGTCTCTGTTATTCCGGGGAAGAAGTCGCGATGCCAGGAAATACTTCTCCTCTCTTTTTCGTTTGGGGGAGGTGGGGAGGGAGATCCTTGGGAAGGTGTGAGGGGTGTGTTCAGTGATGGTGTGAAGGGTGTATCTGGTGAGGGTGTGAGGGTCTTGCTGTCTCCAGCTTCACTCCCATCTTCTTCAATAGGCAGAGATGAAAGAGAAAACAATGTCCTCTCTTCTGCAGTTGGTGGCTCCTCTGATGTGGTGCTTGGTACATTTTTGGTACTTTGTGGCTCCTCTGTGGTAGTGTTTGGTTCTTTTGTCGGTTCCTCAGTGGTAGTGCTTGGTTCATTTGTCGTAGTTTGTGGCTCCTCAGTGGTAGTTTGTGGCTCCTCTGTGGTAGTGCTTGGTTCTGTTGTTGTAGTCGGTGGCTCCTCAGTGGTAGTGCTTGGTTCTGTTGTTGTAGTCGGTGGCTCCTCAGTGGTAGTGCTTGGTTCTGTTGTTGTAGTCGGTGGCTCCTCAGTGGTAGTGCTTGGTTCTGTTGTTGTAGTCGGTGGCTCCTCTGTGGTGCTTGGTTCTGTTGTTGTAGTCGGTGGCTCCTCAGTGGTAGTGCTTGGTTCTGTTGTTGTAGTCGGTGGCTCCTCAGTGGTAGTGCTTGGTTCTGTTGTTGTAGCCGGTGGCTCCTCAGATGCAGTAAGAGTTGCCGCAGTAGGGTGTGTGAGGGGAGATGGGGAAACCATGGCGGGGGCTGAGGTAGCAGTGAACGCTGAGGACTGGAGCAGAGGAGAGGTGGCTGACTCGGCTGCGTCGGACAACTGGAACCAGGCCAAGGCGACCACGATCATGGCCGCTGCCAGCAGTCCAAGGAAACTCAGACAGGCTTTCGTCTCTCTGGAGGCTCTCCAGCCGAAGCCTTTCTTCAACCTGACGGCGGGTTTCAGATGGCGCTCCCTCCGCGGCCGGCCCCCTCTAGGGGGCGCGGGGAGTTCCAGGTCGCAGCTCTTGTCGTAGCGGCCGTTCCCGAACTCTGTGGTGGTGGAGAGGGAGGAGGGAGGTGGCTGAGTCGAGGAGGGAGACAGCTGGAAGAGAACCACGTCATCGTCCGAGTCACCCGTCTGAGTCAGTTTGCGGTACTCTTTCCCCGAGGACCGCTTCACTCTCGACATTCTGCATTCAATCACCAGGATAGAGCTCTCCTGCAAAGCCAGAGGCGCTCGCTCGGCAGTTGTTGTTTTTTAAGAGGGGGCGTGATACGATTCGACCTTTGACCTTACCACGCCCCCCTCTGGATCCACGTGGTGACGAGCGCAGACCGTCCAATCAGATAAGACCACATGCACAAAGCCCACGAAACACGACAAAAAGCACTGAACCAGTTGTTTTCCGTGTCTCTGTGTTCATTCTGTGTCTCTGTTTACGTCGAGCGACGAGAGAGAGAGAAAGATGAAGATTTTACTGTTGCTGGCAGCACTGTCTGCAGTTTGCCTGGCAGGCGATTATGAAGTGGACGAAGGAGTTCTCGTTCTGACGAAGGACACGTTCAGTGCAGCCTTGGAGGAGCACGCGTTCCTCCTGGTCGAGTTCTGTAAGTTGATCACGTTTTTATTCGTTTGTTCCGAGCGCCTCCTGTTGCATGCGTTGCTAATCCCATATCAACAGGGCTGCATGCATGCTGTACTTACTGGCGCGACCACGTGGTTTAGAGTTCCCGAGCTGTCGCTATAAATGTGAGGCTTGAAAAAATGAAACGAGTGCAATTCAACGACACCCAACACTAAAGTCTAGGTTCACCAGCATGTGATTTCTCTCTCTCTGTGTGTCTGCAGATGCTCCGTGGTGCGGGCACTGCAAGCAGCTGGCTCCAGAGTATGCCAAGGCTGCCCAAACCTGGAGGCCGATGCTCAGAGATCAAACTGGCCAGTAGAACGCCACAGAGGAGTCTGATCTTGCCCAAGAGCACGACGTCCCGCGGTTACCCACTATCAAGTGTCTTCAAGAACCAGAAGCCTATGGACTATGGGGGTGAGGAGGAGGGGGTGGGGTTTCAGTTTGTGTCTGCTAACCTCCTTAGACCCTGTCTGCTTCCTGTTGGTCCCTCTGGCCCTAGTCCTGTCTGTCCATGTCTGCTGCGCATGTGTTGTTTGCTATCTTCCTGCATGGACTAACAACTACCCCCTCCTCCTTCCTGTCATTTTCAACCTCTCTTCTGTAACTTCTGTCAGTAGTGGGTGTCCTCTCTTTTTCGTATAATCACTCACAGTCAGTGTGCCTTTGTTCTGCCTGCTGAATTTGGCACTTGCTCCTGTCCATTTTCCCGCGAAATCTCCTGATGCTGTGACCTGTTCCTCTGGTTTCACTGCCCTGTTACGAGGCATATGTAGTCAAAGTTTTTTGGGCCCGTGTCCAAATCACCATTTGGCACTTCATCTTACCCCAATCCTTTCAGCTCTCTGAACCCCATCACTCCTATCATTATCCTCTCCCCCCTGCCAAGGGTATTGTTGTTCTACTTCAACCTCTCTAACATCCACTCTCCCCCCACTTTCCTTTCTCTCGTTCTCCTTCTCCTAACAGGAGGTAGGACAGCTCCTGAAATTGTCAACTGGCTCTTGAAGAAGACGGGTCCTCCAGCCATCGAACTGACAGACGTCGAGGCGGCCAAGAAATTCTCTGAGAAAGACGAAGTCGTCCTCATTGCGTTCTTTGAGGACTTGGAGTCGAAAGGAGCTCTGGCGTTCAAGGCAGTGGCTGAGATCCAGGACAGTCTGGCGTTTGGCATCACCTCCAGCCAGGAGGTGGCAGAGGCTCTGGGTGCTCCTTGGACAGTATCGTCCTCTTCAAACAGGTGAGTCACTCGCTGTGTGTGGGCGCTTTTACAGTGGAACCCCCCTCTCTAAGGACACCTTTTCTTTCCACAAGAACAGTTCCTTGCATGCAATCCTCTCTAATAAAGATGGACAGCTTTTATTTCGCCCCAAAAGTGTATTCTTGCATGCATTACCTCCCCCTCTCACTGCTTCCCCCTTCCCCCTCTCCCCTCTCCTCCATAGTTGATGACAGGCAAGGTAGTGTATGATGGAGAGTACATCGCCGAAGACATCGAGTCCTTCATCATCATGGAACAGCTTCCTCTCGTCACCATCTTCTCTGATGATGTGGGTGTGGCTTGCTGTCACGTGACTGTTGCTATACAAAACACTTCCTTTTCCCTGTAGACGGCTCCGAAGATCTTTGGAGGTAGCATCAGGTCCCATCTCCTGGCCTTCTTCGCCCAAGACGATGAGAACGCGGAGGCAACTCTCGAGGAGCTCAGGATGGCCGCCAAACAGTTCAAGGGAAAGGTCAGTTTTTGGCGGGAAATCTCGCAAGGAAAAAGCGTGTGTAGCAGCTGATAGAATATAGAAGTTTGCACAAATGGTATATAGGAGGTATTTTTGCAGTCTGCCAGCCACAAATTTTGATAGGAAGGATTTCTCTGCCGATGGTACTAATGTCTAACTATGCAGGGTTTCCTGCCTCCAACGTTTTATAAATGCATTCCCAATATTGTTCAAGCCATTACACATCATTGTGGTTACTAAATTTAGCCGTTCGTTTATGAGCAGGAAACACTCGCCATGCACCATTGATATGAAGACAAAGTCCTCTGTAATAACATAATTTGGTCTCTGTTTTCCAAATCCAGTATATTTCTCTCTCTCTCTCTCTCTCTCTCTCTGTGTCTGCAGATTCTGTTGTGTCAGATTGACGACAGCGGAAAGAGCCTCATGAGGATCAATGTGTTTGCGAGTTCTTCAACATCAAAGACCGAGTCACGCCCACGTTCTCGCCTCATTAACCTCGAGGAGCGACATGAGTGAGTATATTCCAGATTCAATGACCTTACAGCAGATAAATCTGGTTCCATTTGCGAGGCCATATCTCGCCGGAGATCTGACGGTGAGGGAGGAGGAAGAGGGGAGAGAGACTGTCACTCTGAAACTCACACAAAGTTGACTCGATATATGTATGTTTAGGACATGCCCTATTGTATGGGTGGTATGACAATATACCACGTCTCTCTACACTACATTTATATTTCACGTCTCCAAATGTCTGCCCAAAATATGTAAACTTGGCAGTATCGAGACTACTCTGGTAACCATGAGTGCACCTGCCTAGCAATAGTATTACTTGCTTCAGTTTCAGTGGACATAAGTGGTGACATCATCGTCACTTCTCGTCCTCCTCCTCCTCCTCCTCCTCCTCCTCCTCTAACCCCCACAGCTCACCTGAACACAGAGGACATCCCGAGGACATGGACAGCAATCAGTCCCGTCAAATCCTGTCGAAACAACTTTGAGGAGGTCGTCAAGTGATCCCACCAAGATTGTCTTCGTTGAGTTCTGTGAGTTTTTCAGGACACTCTCTCAGGGCACCTTAACAGGACAACATGTGCAGGACACTTTAGTAGGACACTAGCCCGGAGTTTAGTAGGGCACACTAGAACAATGTTTTGAATTTGGTGGGAAATTTGTTTTCCTCATCGAGTTTTCTGCTAGAACATATATAATAATTTGGGAGTCATGAAATGATGAGCATGTCTTGCCCCGCCCTCTGCAGATGCTCCGTGGTGTGGTCACTGCAAGCAGCTGTCTCCAATCTGGGACGAACTGGCCGAACACTTGCCTCCGATGATGACGTTGTCGTTGCCAAGATGGACGCCACCAAGAACGAGGTGGACGGAGTCCAAGTCACCGGGTTCCCCACACTGAAGGTCTTCATGAAAGAAACCAACGAGGTCAGTGATCAAACAGTGATGTCATTTTACATTCCAACGACATCGTCTTTTGGGTGTAGCTGACAACTAGACGTCCCTCCCTCCCTCATTTCATAGTGTTGGAGTGGCAAGCGTTTTTAAGTAGTTTAGGGCATCTGCATGTGTATGAATGCCTTTTTGGAAAGTTGAGGAATTTTCCCAGCGCACGCTGCTTCTGTGTGAGAGCACTGAGTTGAGTATCGTTGGGAGGGTATAGTGTACATGTGAATCCTTGTCCTCTGCTAGGGAGCACCTGCTGCTCTGATCGTTCCACTAACATGGCCTCTATTAGAATTGAGACTTGGGACAAAATCCACGTCCAGACTGACAGTAGGGTCGGGACCCTCTCACCAAAGATGGTTTTAGTTGTGCTTCACACAGCTGCATGCATTAGCTGAATACTTACTGTGTTAGTCGACTGGCTTTGCTCCGTCCCCTCCCCTCGTTCAGATGGTTGATTATACTGGCGGGCGGACTCTGGAGGATCTTATGAGTTTCTGGAGGCTCAGTAGAGGGAGAGGGAGAGGAAGAAGGAGAAGAGGAGGGGAGAGGGAGAGGAGGAGGAAGAGTAAGATGAAGAAGATGCAGCAAAGAAAGATGAACTATGATCATTGAACTCTAGCAGTCACTGAGAGATGTCTCTTTCTCTTGTCAATTTAGGAATCACATATCCTGCGTCCTTCTTTACCACGAGTATATATGACCGATATTGTCATCATAAGTTCTAAATCATCATAGCTTGTAAGCTGCATCAGGATGGACATCTTCCTTTTGCGCCCTTTTTCCCTTTCATTTTTCAAGAAAGCTTTGGACCAATAATATTTGTATATAGTGGCGAGTCAGTAATGTCTTCGTAGCATTGCATGAGATGGGGACCGTGTCCATCAGAGCACTTGTTTCTCTGTGAGAAGTCACTGCACTTCGTCGTAGATACGTTCGCTTTCCAGACTATCGTTCCGCTCCTTCTCTCTGGGTCAATCCCAGGTCCCGCATTCCGCTCACTCTGGTCCCATTCCCCGTGCTCTGGTTCCGGGGTGCGTCTGGCCAGTCTTGAGCACAGTGCCACTTCATTGTAGCTCTGTCCAGACCAGTCCCCGCACTGTCCACGAACGGAGTTGCTGTTATACTACTGCTGGAAACGCTCGTGTTTGCCTCGTACTCGCCTCGCTGTACACCATCTCCCCCTCCTCGTTGTCCACTTTACCATACCCTTGGTTTTCTTTACTATGACCTCGGTCTCCATAGTACATGATCACAAGGACAACAGCCAACCTTGTGATCAGCTATGATAAGAATGCACTCATGAAGATCCCGCCATGAGTAACGGCGGGAGACTTCGTGCAACGGGGATTACCCTCTGTTTGATGTTGATGAGGATGTACATAGAGCGAGACTGATGATGTCGTCGGGGAGGGTATTGTTTCAGACGATGCCAAGTATGCGAGGAATGCTCAAGTAGGGGGGATGAAGATGGACCTGTTTGGCTGACGAGTGGTGCTCGAGGAGAGGGAGAATAAGTGGTCATCTAGAACGAGAGGGGACGAGAGAGATGGGGAGGTGATGAGAGTGAGGAGGCAGAGGGGGGTTTGGGTGTCTCTTGTGGTCCAGCTGGCAGGGGAGAAGTTGTGGGTGGAGGCAGAGAAACTGTGGTAAAACAGACAACCTGACACCTGCTGTTGACCTCAACTGAATTATCAAAACACCTATTGTGAATTCAACAACTGTCACATTCACAAGCTAAATATGGGCAAGTAGACACCTATTCTTGCATACTGCATACTATTGCCAGGGGCTGACATGAACTGGGAACTAAGAGCTGAGGTATATACAACTCCTAGACACAAGTACGCATGACACTCTTGTTTCCACACGTGATACGGTCCATTTCTCTTACCCACGCCGGCTGACAGTACAGGAGCAGCTCCAATATGCAGCTGTGTTAGGCTGCAACGGTCGAGCAACCAGCTGCCCACTAACCAGAAGACAGAAGACTGACAGACCCACTCCACTCTCTGTCCAGCTGAATTCCTCCATCTGTCGGGTTTTCAAACTCTTCCTCCCTTCTCGATAGCTTGTACCGATCCACATAAAACCCGATGATGTCGTCAGGTAACACTTCAATTTGGTCGTCCCTGGGAACCTGATATTCCACACAGTGGTCAACAGGAGCCAGCAGTTGTGAGGGAACATTGACTCCAACGAGAGTGAAACAGCCGTCAACGGAAGGTCGCCAGACTTGAAACCGGATATCGTATCTCTCCCTGTTTCCACCGGGTTTGACGCAGGCGGACCAGTTGGTGACTCGTCCGTGGCAGGAGAACTGGTAGCTGGGCACGAGGATATTGACCAGCTCCTCTGAGTGGTCACGGGACCTGTGGTCGTCAATCAGTGGAGGCAGTCCTTGCAGATCACATGCCAGAGTGACCTCCACTGTATTGCATGCGTGTGGGGAAGAGAGTTAATAATCTCATTACTGCACTACCAAGTAATGATGTTACCAACTGCATGTAGGGACCATCATGCACATCTAGCATGACACTTAATTTTGTCTTATGCAGCCAAGTTGCAATGTGCATGCCGGCCTAAAATGTAATGTCTAGTAGCAAAATTCAGTACTTACATAAGAGAAACAGCACAGCTGCCCTGCTGGTTGTGATGAGTCTTTGCAGCATCCCCCCAAGCTGCCGTCTCTCGTCTCTTTCACTGACTAACGACCACGGTCGACTGCTACATATTGTCATGACCAACTCTACTGCTAATTGTCTTCCAGCCCTGGCTGCCAAGGAACCAATCCCAGATCACTCAGAGGCTTATTGACTCTCACTGTTCTCGGGGCTTTCACAGGCAGTTAATGCACCCGTCCAGTCGCCAAGTCATGCTTTTATAGCATTCCCCACAATTGTCTGCATGCCGATGCATCCTGTCTACTGGTCTCTGGACATGGGGCCAAGGAAACCCTTTGTGAATGTGTAGTTGATTGGCTGAATGCAGTGGCCGTGTTTGGCAAGGGCGTGAGGTGCACTTAGCTCACAGCCCACTCTATCCATTCCCCCAGTTCAACAACAGCCAGTGGTGTGTGCGAACAACTGCTGGCATTCAGCGACTTCCCTGTGGTGTATTTATAACATACGTTTAGAGCTATGCTGTGCAGAACATAATCTCTTCTCACCTTCCAACTATGGCCTTCTCGGCTGATGTTGGAAGGTTTTCTCTAACTAGGTGCCTTTATTTAATGGGCCCTTTCAGACTTCAATTGTAAGTTCTATTATGAGCCTTGCTTAGTAGCTGAACGAAGGCTAGAGAGCTAACTAACCATGTGAGCTAAAGCCCAACTTCTGCACAAGCGTTTCTCTTGAAGTATTATAATATGGGGTGATTCAGGATCGTGGGGCTGCAGATGCATGCTTCTTACCCACACACTGACAGCTTCGGCATTTCTTGAGCCAACAAAGAGAAAAGGAGTCAGCTTGCAAGCTGCACGTTGGGCACAGCTTCTCCCTCCCACTCACACTAATCCCCATTACCATAACCGACTCTCTGTATGGGCTGTGACTAATTGATCCTGATATCTGCTGAGTCCCCACACTGTAAACATTGCCACAAACACATTAATAGAGTTTGTAAGTACACGCGGAGAGTTGTTCTATAGGTGTCCAATGTACTCATAGCCGTCACTGTCTGTAGTGCTGTGGACATTTCGCTGACTTGCAGATGTTGTGGTCCGCGGAACGACAAACATCTTCCCATTCTTGTCGGCATAGAGTCCATTGTAGATCATGGAATCGGGGGCCTGCCGGGAATTCCCCTTCCCCCGTAGTCCCCCATCACTAACCCCCACCACTCCACTGTATATGTTGTCGACACTTGGTGGATCCTGGGCAGGGCTGGAACCATAGAGGAGGTTCGAGACCATTGAAATGGTGTCTGCACTGTATCTGTTCATGGATTGGGACCCGCCTGAAGCTCTGGACTGCCGTGACCTCACCGGTTCAACCTCGATTCGAGGCTCTGAGATTGTGTGGGTGTTCCTCTCTCCCTTCTGCTTCTTGTATCTCCTGCGAAGACAGAGGATAGTGAGGAGGGCAGCCCCTGTAATCAGGAGGATGTTGAGGAGGATGAGGAGAGAAGCAGCGACAGCCATTGTGGTGTAGCGGTCACGGATGATGTAGGGAACATCGGGCAGTGAGGAATTCCCATCTTGAAAGAAAAGGACGGGAGAAGGGGCCAGAGTGTGGGTGGCATCAATTGGAGTCAGCTCCTGGGAGTGTGACGATGATGGTGGGGAGTGAAGATTTGAGGACATGGGAGGTGATGAGATGGATACATCAGCTGAGACATGTGTGGTTGAGAATGTGGGTAAAGAAGAGGCAGAGGCTGTGCAAGAACCAGTGGTCTGCGTGATGGTTGAAGAGGCACCATCTGCAGTGTCAGCCATACCCTCAGAGAGAGGGGAAGAGGCAGGTGGGAGGGTAGTAATTAAGGGTGGGTGGCCAGAGAAGATGATGGTCGTTGGTGTTTGTTGGTCTGATACTGATGTCTTCGTGCCTGGAACAGGATCCTGTGTCTGGGTCACAGCAGCTGGCTCTATAGGAAATGAAATTTCAGTTATGAATGTAACCCAAAGCTCACAACAGTGTGAGATTAATTAACCTACCAAACATCACGGTAATTACAGGAGCTCCAGTTGAAGTCAGATGCAGCTGGAACTCACTGAACTCTGGCAGTGTTGCGAAACAGAAATGAGTCGAGGACGTCCCGAGTCCATATGTAGTCCTCAGGCCACCGACTGAAGTATTCTGGTAGTAAAACTCAACGTCTGTCCTCTCTGATACCACCTGAAACCCTGCCGCTTGGTTGTTGACATTAAACAGAGTGAACTTGGTAACAGCTCTCCAGTAGTCCACGTAGAACCCCACCACATCGCCTTCCTCTACCGCCAACTGTTCCTCCACTGTAGAGACTGTCTTGTTACACCCTCCCTCTAGTCTCAGGAGGTTAATCTTCTGGGGTTTCGAGGAGGAAGAGCGCCCCACCTGTTTGTAGCAGCCGGGGGAGACCTCTCTCCACACCTGGTAGACCACGTGGTAATCGATCGTCAGAGTCAGCAGGAGAGAAGCAGCCTCCCCAGCCCGTGACTATTCCAGGGCAGGAGAAGCGATAGCTGGGAACTATAGCCTGGACTTGGTCTCCTGTGGTTTGGCTGGTTGTGTAGCTCTGGTAGGCTGGTAGACCTGACACACACCCACTGCCTGCAGGTTCATCATATACAGTGTGGTCTAGTACTTTCTATAGCATACTGTGTATATAGTATAATAATATTATGTTCTATTCTCATTGCCACACCTCAAATGCTATAAGATCACACCTTTCCTCAAGACTAAGACTGTGCTGTAGTGACTCTTCTTAAAATTTAGTTAGTCTCACCTTCAGGGATGTAAGTAGTCAATAGAAGGCCAACCACCGCCAGCACAAGCAAATATAACCCCATCTTTTACACTGACTAACACATACACTCTCTCCTCAAAGAGGGATAGCTACTACTGACTGCTCTGATGAACTGCACTGATATTGCTCGGCCACTCTGCCCAGCGTGTGTGTGTGTTGGCTGGTGAATGTATTGAGCCCAACACATGGTGACATGAGGCTCTCAATCACTGCTGGGACATCAGAAGCCATTTGTGAGAAGACAGCCAGCGTGACAAAACCTTTTGTGATCTAACTTTCAAAACAACAACGCCGCAATTTCCGCTCTTACGTAATAATTATGAAATATTGGTCGGTGAAAAACATTTTTATCAAGTGACGATAATTGTTTCGCTGACAGGCATGTTGAGAACGGCTGTAATGAGGGGAGTGGAGGTGTGGTTTTGGACCACATAGACACTGATCTCCTCTGCTCTCCCCATGTCATGAATTCTAGCAGCACAGGCACATGAATGGAAGTAATCGTTATCTTGCTGCCCCTATCTCTTCCCACCCCTTTCTTGCAGTGCTACTTTATAGCACCACACACACACGTACAGCACAGTCTAGTGCAGTAGCTAGTAAACTGACTGCTGGCATTGGCCTTCTCCCTGGCCATCTGCTCCACACACACACGTACAGCACAGTCTAGTGCAGTAGCTAGTAAACTGACTGCTGGCATTGGCCTTCTCCCTGGCCATCTGCTCCACATACACACGTACAGCACAGTCTAGTGCAGTAGCTAGTAAACTGACTGCTGGCATTGGCCTTCTCCCTGGCCATCTGCTCCACACACACACGTACAGCACAGTCTAGTGCAGTAGCTAGTAAACTGACTGCTGGCATTGGCCTTCTCCCTGGCCATCTGCTCCACACACACACGTACAGCACAGTCTAGTGCAGTAGCTAGTAAACTGACTGCTGGCATTGGCCTTCTCCCTGGCCATCTGCTCCACACACACACGTACAGCACAGTCTAGTGCAGTAGCTAGTAAACTGACTGCTGGCATTGGCCTTCTCCCTGGCCATCTGCTCCACATACACCCTGGTTCTCTTGGGGATGTTGAGTTTATCCAGCTGAGCTGCCAGTTACACTGCACTCTCCAGCTATATTCATGATTTTTTGTTGACCTGTCCTTACCCCCACATTCTTGTAAAAAGTAGCAAAAATTAATGGGCTACTTCGAATTATGTGCACTGCACTCTCCAGCTATAGTCAATGCGTTCATGATTTTTTGTTGACCTGTCCTTACCCCCACATTCTTATAAAAAGTACAAACAATTTATAGACCACTTCGAATTATGTGCACTGCACTCTCCAGCTATAGTCAATGCGTTCATGATATTTTGTTGACCTGTCCTTACCCCCACATTCTTGTAAAAAGTACAAACAATTTATAAACCACTTCGAATTATGTGCACTGCATTCTCCAGCTATAGTCAATGCGTTCATGATTTTTTGTTGACCTGTCCTTACCCCCACATTCTTGTCAAAAGTACAAACAATTTATAAACCACTTCGAATTATGTGCACTGCACTCTCCAGCTATAGTCAATGAGTTCATGATTTTTTGTTGACCTGTCCTTACACCCACATTCTTGTAAAAAGTACAAACAATTTATAGGCCACTTCGAATTATGTGCACTGCACTCTCCAGCTATAGTCAATGCGTTCATGATTTTTTGTTGACCTGTCCTTACCCCCACATTCTTGTAAAAAGTACAAACAATTTATAACCACTTCGAATTATGTGCACTGCACTCTCCAGCTATAGTCAATGCGTTCGTGATTTTTTGTTGACCTGTCCTTACCCCCACATTCTTGTCAAAAGTACAAACAATTTATAGACCACTTCGAATTATGTGCACTGCATTCTCCAGCTATAGTCAATGCGTTCATGATTTTTTGTTGACCTGTCCTTACCCCCACATTCTTGTCAAAAGTACGAACAATTTGCTGGGACATCAGAAGCCATTTGTGATAAGACAGCCAGCGTGACAAAACCTTTTGTGATCTAACTTTCAAAACAACAATGCCGCAATTTCCGCTCTTACGTTATGATTATGAAATATTGGTCGGTGAAAAACATTTTTATCAAGTGACGATAATTGTTTCGCTGACAGGCATGTTGAGAACGGCTGTAATGAGGGGAGTGGAGGTGTGGTTTTGGACCACATAGACACTGATCTCCTCTGCTCTCCCCATGTCATCTGTGCACTGCACCATCGTGTCGAAATTGTAGCTAACAGTTGGCACCAACAGAGGCATCTGCAGACAGAAGAAAGGTCAATCAATCAATCGATGGTATACCTTACACACACCACATCAAGTTAGTATAGAAATGCCGGTCGGTGCTCAAAATTATGCGAAAGGTTCAATCCCCACACAAGTCTAGCGTACCTGAATGAATTTCCTGGTGATCCGATAGAGGCCCTCGTCACATCTGAAGGTTATGTAACAGTTGGTCACTGGTTTACTTGGAGACGTGTTCTGGACTGTCACTGTCAACCTGAATATTGGACCCAGACCCTGCACCTGGGGAGGATTATTACGTCGCTGGTAATAATCCCAATGGTGAGTCTATGGGAGGAATGATGTCATACCTGTGCGGCTATCTTGAGGGAGCAGTCGGGGGAGGCAGTGAGCGGAGTCAGTCTGCTAGTGACTGCCTTGGCGTAGGCTTGTGTGATCTGGAGTCTCAGTCTGGACAGGTCCTGCTGGAACACACTGTGCATCGCTGAATGGGTGGGGAGAAAGAGAAGCTATGCATTAACTCTGGTAAACCATGAATTCTAACAGCACAGGCACATGAATGGAAGTAATCGTTATCTTGCTGCCCCTATCTCTTCCCACCCCTTTCTTGCAGTGCTATTCTGTTATAGCACCACACACACACGTACAGCACAGTCTAGTGCAGTAGCTAGTAAACTGACTGCTGGCATTGGCCTTCTCCCTGGCCATCTGCTCCACATACACCCTGGTTCTCTTGGGGATGTTGAGTTTATCCAGCTGAGCTGCCGGTGGACCAGGGGTGAGGTCCTTTGCCTCGAAACTGACCGATCTCTTGAGGATCTTGACGAGCAGGGCTCCACCCTGCGTTACCATCAGTAGGACTCCGTCCTCTCTGCCAAACGGTCCAAACTTCAGACCTACCACCACGTCCTGCGGAGAAGAAAAACTTAGTGCTTCATCTGAACAAAAAAGCACGTAAAACGTCAAATGCAAGAAACAAATCTGATATGGGTGACGTGAAATTTGACTTGAAACCTCTGATTAAAGAGAGATCAGATGTAGTTAAACTCACATCCACTGTGATGCAGTTGACTAGGAACTTGTCCTTGTAGATGCGGACCTCTCTATTCTGGAGGGCCACCACCACCGCCTTGAAGGAGCGCGGGCGATGGTGGAGTAGCTCCATGCAGGTGAGAGAGGCAGGCAGACGAAGACTCCATTGTCTGCGTCCCTTCACGCTGTAGCTGGCCAGACTGTCGTCCATGCAGCCCACAACTACGTCCTTGTTGATTCTCTGGAGACCGCACGGTTGGGAGGCCAGGGGGATCTTGTAGCGCGGCGTCGTACTAGCTCCACTGTCGAGGTGAAAAAGTAAACCTTTTCCGACACAAAAGTCCGCTCACCTCTTGAAGGTGTAGATGCAGTTGTCTCTGCAGGCAGCGGAGATGTGGTAGTCCACATCATGCAGTCCAGTCACTGACAGAAATACTGCAGGAGACGGGAGCAAGAACTGGTGGTCCACACCACACAGAGGAGAGACAGAGAGACAGAGAGAGAGAGAGGGAAGGTACAACAGAAAAAGAGAGGATAAAGGGGGAAGAGATGAGAAAAGGGGTAATAAAGAGGGAGAAAATAGAGAATGAAACGAACAAACATGAAAAAAACTTCCTTTGCAGACAGATGAGAGAGAAATATTTAAGCACCTGTTTCAAAACGGTGAAGGCTTCGGGATCGAGAACGTAGATGTCTCCATTCTCAGAGGCCACCACCAGGCAGCTGACGGCGTCATCCTCTGTGTGGCTTTTCTTCAAGATGGCCATGGCGGTGATGACACTCTTTCTCCGGAGGGGAATGTGTCTGAAGGTGGCCAGGAACGAGGCTTGCAGCTCCGCGTCGTCCTCCAATTGCAGGTACTTGAGTGATCTCACACTCAGTGGTACCTCCTTGTTCCCCTCTCTGAGAGTGACAGAAACAGGGATGTGAAGGATGGGAAATGACAGTGATTTACTGCTTACTGCACGTCAACCAATGATCGGTAGAGCTCAGCAGCAGGTATCTTATCCTGAAGGAATTGACAGACACACTATCTGACAAAACGCTTCAAAGATTATAATGAAAAGCACTAAAGTGCAAACCCTCGGCACACTCTATAGAAATGTGGAACCCATACACAAGTGTGGCACCACCACAATTGATGGTCTTGACCACGCATCAAAAAGAACAGCATGTTATGCACCATTTCCATGGGGTTGGGAAAAAAAGCCCAGCCCTATTTCTGTTTGAGGCCAAAAAATATATAGGTGGAAAAATTGCCAACCTTTCATCTCTCTACTAATTTTCGTATTACCGTGGATTGTTTAGTGGCACGCAACACTGTCTGCGACCGTGCCAGTTTGTCGCTCTCGAACGCAGTCGTTTCAGCAAAATCGCCATTTTAATAATAATTATACCTCCTTTGCTTTACTCCATAGCTCCACTTCATCCGAGTTCAACTATATTATAGAGGGGGAAAAGAGCTATACATTAACTGCATGTACACCTTTGTCTGGAGAGGTTCTAACCTGAAGGTGGGGTAAGGTAAATTGAAGTAGGGGCGGAGTTCTTGTAGACGTAGACAACGAGCCTGCTGCCACGGCAACGGCTGGAGTTCGGGGGTCAGTGGCTGTCCATGTAAAAGTCGCTGACCCCCGTGCGGGAGGTCAAGGAGCGGAGTCTCAAATGATAAACTCGGTCCCTTTACCAACAGAGGGAGAGTGTATACGTGAAGGATCACTAAATGTAAAGTGGAACCGCTATAAGGACACCACCTCCTGAAACAAGGATACATTCCAATAAGGGAACCTTTTATTTCCCCCTACAACAGTGTCTTATAAGCAATTAAGGACACCTCACCAATATGGGCCCTTTCTTGCAGGGGCTTACCCTTGTAAACTTTCAGTTTCATGTCAGAGTGTCCGCTGCCTAAATCTCCCACCAGGAACTGGGTCAAGGGAGAGAGAGAGAGTAAGGTGAGAGGGAAGGACACGCTTCATCTGCCCCCACCTTGTGGTCTCCATCCCTGTTGAGGTCCTCCAGAGCTGCACACACAGAAAAACAGAGGTTTAGCCGTGTCAGTCATGGGTGGCTAAGGCCCAGCTCACCCATGCAGGAGGAGAAGGTGTAGAGAGAAGCCACGGGGTCGTAGTGGGCGTCCAGCCATGCTCCCGCCCCTGAAATCCCGCTGTGGTGGAATTCCAATTGATGCGCACCTACGTTTTTCTCGTCCGAATTCTCACGTTACCTGTTCTCCTGGTCGTCTGGCGAGCGCTGCCTGCTTACTGGATGAGTTCGCGCGGACATTTTCTCTCTTCTCCAAAAAACACAGACGAAGAGAAACGGCGGGAAAGGCTCTGCACAAACGTCGCCTCCGGCTGCGCTGGAAGCTATGTTTATCGGGATTGCCGGTTCCCATGGAAACGACGTAACCGTTGCGGCTCCGTTGCAAAAACGCATGCCGAAAATTATAACGGGAATCGAATCAATCAACAACAGACCTAAGGTTGTCTGTCTATCACTACATCAGTCACTACAGAGTGTCTCTCTCCAGAGATGGAGTTCATTTGAAGCGGAGGCCGGCGATGGAGGACTCCAGGCTCTTGCAGTCCCAGATCACCAGCTGCCCGTCCACGCCAACGGTGGCAAACTTGGACACGTTCTCTCGCGACCCCGTGTGCAGCAGGATCTCGGAGATGGCGTTCTGGTGGGTGGAGTCTAGCTCCACGTCCCTTCCGCCTGCATTGGCTCGATTGTCCAGACCTTTGAACTTGTCCATGGCACTAAAGAAGAAGGGGGGGTGGAAGGGAAAGAGTGTAATGGATGAAGAGCAAGCCTCAAAAACACATTGACTCCAGAGGCATTTTTTTGTAGAACTTTACTCATTTGCAAAACTTAAGATGCAGTGATTCGCCAATTTCCACAAAATGCATGGTAAAAATATCTATGAAGCACCACCTCACAAACTCCTTTTGTTTTCTTCTCTGCAGTGTCCAATTTATTGATGTAGGTGAGGGAGCCTGCGTCGTCGTGCATCCACAGCACGGGGCAGCAGTCGTAGCCTGCAGCCACCAGACTGTTCTCCGTCAGGAAGAGACAGGAGAGATACGGGAGGTAGGAGTGCATCACTGTTGACACTCTGTGGAGGGAGAGAGATTTACAGACATCCATTTTCTACTTGCTCATAGTAAAGTGAATGAAGTGAGGTTAGGTAAGAGAAAAAAGACAGAAGAGGGTTGCAACTTACTGCCCATCAGCGGCCTGGTTGGCGACGGACACGCTGGAGTCATGTCCGACCCAGGCCAGCTTGTTCCCCGAGGGAGAGAATGAGACACTGTGGACCCAGCCTCCCCCTCCGTTGGAGAACTCTGCCATGCAGGCTCCAAACGTCATCTTCTTCCCCCAGCACGTGGCCTCTGGTTTCTCCTCTATCTCCTTCACATAGCCCGAGAACACCCTGTGATTCAGCGGGGTGGACCCTCTCATTAAAAGCAATTTCGGTTGTAGAAGTACTTACAAACATACCTGGCCTTGAAGTCACAGCTGCGGCAGCCAGGAGGTAGTTATTGGGATGCCAATCAATACCCAGAACAGTGGATCGCAGTGGTTTCTTGATGTGTTTACTCACCCACCTACACACACACACACACACACACACACAGGGAGGAAATAGTGTGCCTACCAACAACATATCTTGACGAGAGATCATACATACATACTTGCAACTAAATACTTTGACTCTAGAGAACACACTTTACTTACCAGTCATTTTCCTTCTCAAAGTAGCAGATGGAGATGAGACGTGCTCCACTCCCCACTGCAAACTTGTTCTCTGGAGAAAGAGAGAGAGAGAGTTGAACTCCTCTAATCCATGACACCAATGGGACACAATAAAGTGTCTAAGTCCCTATTTCAGGGGTAAGATGTTTCTTGGAGAAAGAAATTCCAGGGGCATCCTTAGAGAAGTGCTCCCCAATGCTAACAGGAGAACTCACTAACCAAGTGGAGACCACCTGACAGTAGTGGCAGCTCGGTTGATCCTCAGGATTACCAGAGACGGCTTCCACTCTTCTCCGGCAAACGTCCACACATACGCATTCCTGTCCTGCAGATACATACACTTATCCACAAGCTGGCCCAACACATAAGAGGAAGGAGTGGCAAGGGAGAGAAAGAGATATCCTTACCGCTCCGCAGGTCACAAGGCGATCGCTCTTTGGGGCCCAGTCCATTCCAGTCACCTTCTGTCCATGCTGCGAGAGGAACGACACAATGTCCACTGCTGCGTCTCGGCAGTAAGTGGGGTGGTGGGTATGGGACTGACCTCACTAAGAACGTGCTGAACCTCCCATTTGCTGCCTTTCTTGGTGTAGATGTGGACCTCGGTGTTGTTGGGGGAAATGGCAAACCCTGTAGCAAGAGAGAGAGAGAGAGAGAGAGAGAGAGAAGTTGAAGATTAGAGAATCACGGCCTAGCAGGCCTCTCTCTTCCCACTTACTGCTCCTGTCGCCGTTCCAACAGTGGCACGTGATGGGCCCTGGAATGAGCTGATGAACCTCTGGCATTGTTTCCCTCGATTTCAGGTGATGGCTCTCAGAAACGATTCACTCGGTACTTTTGGTTGTCTTTGACCGCGGACTCTGGTCAGTCTACACGGCCTCTCGTCTTCTCGATCTCCCGCACTCCACAAGGAAACGTCTTCCCCTGTGAACCGCCTTATTTGGTGCGCCCGGTGGGATAGGTGTGGCTTGTATCGCTCATCGTATGCGCATGCGCATTTGGCCAGCTGGATAAAAATGGCGTCTAATTGTTCGCTGCCGTTCGTCTACATCTCAGGGGAGGAGGTCCGGAGACTTGTTGGGATGGCGGAGCTGATCGAGGAAATGGCTCGAGGTCTGCGGTGGGTCTCGGAGCGAGATGAGGGAGGCGTGGTCCAGCCTGTACGGACTGTTGTCCGAGTGGACAAGTACTGCGGGTCAGTGCGAGCCATGACGTAATCCCCCTGCAATACAGAACGTGCTGCAGGAACCTGGGGTTGATGCCGGCGTACTCGAGCAAATCAGACAGCCTGGGAGCCAAGTTGGTGACCTTCTACCCCCATCAGATTGAGGGGGTCCCCTCTCATCAGGCCATCGTTATCGTCCTGGACCCCAGAACTGGGACTCTGCAGGCTGTGAGTCCTCACCTATACCACTGCTGACCACGTCTGGTCCGTCTTCTACCTCAGATTGTGGACGGAGTTGAGATTACCAACATGAGGACTGCAGCCGCTTCTGCCTGTGCTGCCAGAGTGAGACTCAACACCTTCACACTGTCTCCACTCACACTCTACACACTTCTCACTATCTCCTCCTCCCCAGGCACTATTGCAGCAGGCTCCCAGAGTCCTATGTATAGTAGGCAGTGGAGTGCAGGCTAGAAGTCATGCCGAGGCTCTTCGCATCCACCACTCATTCTCTGAGGTGTAGTAAAATTTTTGTGGAGTACCAAAAATTTGGAGTAGTAAAAATTTTAGCTGTAGGATTGATTGTATATAGGTGAGAATCTGGGGTCGAAGTGCAGCCAGTGCTCAGCGCTGTGCCGACGAGGTGAGGGCAAAGGTCAGTCTGTCTCTCCCCGATGCACTCAGAGATGCCGACGTCGTGGTAGCGGTAACCTTGGCGACGGAGCCACTGATTCGTGGAGAATGGTTGAAGACAGGAGCGGTGGTGATATGTATGTCTCTCAGGATTCTATTGGATCTAGTCAACCTCTTGACATTTCAGCTGTGGGGGCGTGTCACTCCGACTGGAGAGAATTAGACGATGATGTAATGCTAAATTCACTAGTGACAGTAGACAGTTGCGATGCAGCAATGAAGGAGTCTGGAGATATCATACAATCGGGGGTAAGCCCCTCTAATTCTCAGAGACCGAATTGTGTCTCCTGCAGGCAGAGATATTTGCAGAAATTGGAGAAGTAATATCGGGAGCTAAGCCTCTCCCCTCTCTTTCTGATTGCGGCAAGAAATTCCTCATGTTCAAATCACTGGGTTAGAGAGTGAACAACAGGGGCCTCCCCTAATTATCATACCGCACAATGTGCTTTCTCTCTGACTGCAGGCATGGCAATAGAAGACGTGCTTAGTGGAACTCTGATATACCATCGCTTCATGGAAAGACAGACATCACGACAACCAACGTAGCCTCAGAGAATCAATTCATTTTGTATAATTTTTGTACAGAGTAAAATCATGACATTGAGACAACAGCAAAGACAGGATGTGAGTGTGTACTTAATTATTATGTTGTGTGTGTGGAGAGTGCAGGAGTGAAGGTCGACACTACTGAGTTCTGTGGAGAGAAGATGGCTTGGAGGCAGTAGTGTCAACCCTAGCCTTGTCTCTGAGTGTCGTACCCTCTCTCTTCAGCACGTGGAGCAGTGACTGGGAGCTCTCCAGAATCTAACACAACACACGGAACAACTGTAGTACATAACTCAGGGTGTTGCGGCAAGGACACACACCTTTTTGTAAGCGCCCTCCGTCTCTGCGATGGTGCGGTCATAGTCGTTCCTGATGGCAATCTTCCGGGCCAGGCTCTCGTTGATGGCCGCCAGTCGCTCAGTGATGATGTGGAGGTCGTGCTGGACTCGCTGCTTCTCCTCTTCCTCCAGCAAGATCTGCCTGTGGAGCTCGTCTCGCTTCGCACTCAGGTCCTCGATGCCTTGGGGGAAGAGTAAGTCAGCTAGCTAGTGTCAAAGATGGCACTGAGCACGACGGAGGCTTACATTTTATGAGCTCGTTGTTGTAGCCCTGTAGCTGTGCGCCCTGCTGAGACATTGCTGTTGCCTACTCTATACCCTCGGTTCTTTCCCGCTAACCTGCGCACGCAGCTAGCTCTAGATCGTATGTGGGCGTGGCTGAATTCCGTTTCCATGCCAGCGGCCAAACCAAAGCATGCGTGATCTATGGCTAGCTTTTATGACCAGAAAGCTTGATTGATGCCGCGCGATCAGACAGATGTCAAGCGGCCATACCCTCCACAAAAGATCGACTGTACCTAGTCTACCCAATACTACGCCATGAAGGAACAAAACATAACGGTGAGCGGTGAAAACCAGTGCCAATAGCTATCCACTACTACCTTCTATCGGCCTCTAGGTGGCACTGCGTGTGCGGCCGATCAACCCCAGAGAGGTCCGCTCCGGAGCTAGGCCGATAGCTCGCGTCGTCGACAAGAACGTGAGTTTAGCTACTCTCAGAATTCCGCGAGAAATTCACCTCTGCATCCTCGTTCGCTCCAGCTGGTGGTGCTAATGGACCCCAACCGAGACAGCGACGATATCCTGCGGGCCAAACGGAGCCATGACCACAGCTACATGTTCGACGTGGCGTTCTCCCAGCGAGCGACGCAGAGAGACGTCTACCAGCGGACATCGCAGGGCCTCGTCTCCAAAGTCATCAGAGGATACAATGCTACAGTCTTTGCCTATGGCCCCACTGGTAGGAAACTACGGCGAAACCTCTGAATAAGGAACACCTTGGCGGCATCAAAATGATGCGCCAAGTGTGCCGAGGTGTCCTTTTTCAGAGGTTCCAATGTAAGATGCAGTAGGTAGAGGAAGTGTGTTTGTGCATGTGCTCTCAGGGGCTGGTAAGACGTACACGATGCTGGGAAAGACGGGAGAGCCGGGGATCATGGCCCTCACTCTCTCCGACCTGTTTGCCAAGATGGAACAGAACCAGGCTACCAGTCGCTACAGAGTCACCATGGCTTACCTTGAGGTAAGAGATGAGACACCATGGCTTACCTTGAGGTAAGAGATGAGACACCATGGCTTACCTTGAGGTAAGAGATGAGAGATCTCATACAGCTAGTGCTCTCTGTTGAGATTATATATGTAGGGAAAATGAGGGATGAGAGGAAAAAGTTGTGCAACATTAGTGCTTGCGTAAAGTAGAAGCAAAGGTGTAAAAACATAACAATATTGCCCACTGTCAGATCTACAATGAGATGGTTCGTAACCTGCTGGGTCCGTCAGTTGGTATCCTGGACCTGAGAGAAGACGCCCACGGAGCCACAGTTGTCTCGGGGCTGACTGAGGTGGAGGTGCATGATTCAGACGAGGTAATGGATCTCCTCACTCGAGGGAACCTGCGGAGGACTTGTGAACCTACTGCCGTGAACAAGACATCGTCTCGCTCTCATGCCGTTCTCAAAGTTAGCGTACAAACATCTCTCAATCTAGATCTTTCTTAATTTGGCGCTAACCTGATAATCCAACAGTTGAGGCATGAAACTCTGTTCTTTCATTATTTGTGTGTGTGTGTGTGTGTAGGTGACAGTTGAGCAGCAGAGTCGAGTGCTCAACATGTGCCAGAAGATTAGGACCGGAGTTCTGTTCATGATCGACCTGGCCGGCTCAGAGAGAGCGGCCAACACAGGGTGAGGAATGAATACGGAATATGGTGTGGTAACTTAACAGACAACGACATTCACTGTTTGAGAATAGCTTCACCCAAATCAATTCAAGTGTTTATTTATTCCAATTGTCATCACCTCATCAGTGAACTAAGTATTACATCAGACCTCTTTACACACACACACTCTCTCTCCTCAGAACCGGGGACTACGAATGAAGGAAGGAGCCCACATCAACGGTCGCTACTGGCGCTGGCCAACTGCATCAACACTCTCAGCAGTGGAGGACAGTATGTCAACACAGAGACAGCAAACTGACGCGACTTCTCAAAGACGCCCTCAGCGGGAACTCTTTCACGGTCATGATCGCTCACATCAGTCCGGCCAGCAGCTGCTACGAGGAGTCAAAAAACACTCTGAAATATGCCGACAGAGTCAAACACCTGAAAACCAAGGTCAGAGAGAGGGAGTGGCCTTTTACATAATCCGGGAGCTTAGCTGTAGGTAAAGTTTATGATCAGATTTCATCATATACTGTGTTCTGTAGGTGAGCAGTAATGGTGGTGGGAGGTGGACCAGCATGTGTCGAGTACCAGGCATGTATGGAGTCAATGAGGACTCGTATCCTGGAGCTGGAGGGACAGCTGGAGTGGCGGGAGGGAGAGGGAGACAGTCTGTGTACTGATCTCAGAGCTATGCTCAAGGAGGAGAAGACTATCAGGTATATACTTTAGATCACTATTGACTCACAGACCATGGGTCTACAGCAGTAGCAAACTGAGATATTTTCTGTGGGGGTGTTTGAGCAATGTTTGCCCTAATCGAATATAGCCAACACTGAATTGAAAACAAATATATCAGCTGAGGCATAGGAGTATAGTTTTCTGAAAAAGCCCCGAGTTCTTCCTCTGTTGTGTTGTGTTTGTAGGGAAGAGATGGTGAGTGTGGAACACAGACTACTCTTGAACGCCGTGGAGAGGCAGAAACACACGGCTACAATCAGGCTCCTGTGTGTGGCCTCCACACCCTCTCCCCTCCCTCCCTCCTCCCTCTCACCCCTCCCCACCACACTCGAGGACACCGGGCTGGCTTCTCTGCTGTTCAAACGATCGTCCAATTGGTTTGCAGAGCCAAGTCACATGACCGAACCCTACCTCAGCATGGAGGATATCACTGCTCCTCGGGGAGTCACATGACTACCGTGGAAACCAAACAAAGTGATTACGTAACCACTTCAGAGCCAGCGGAAGAGAGTACTGATCACATGACTACTGTGGAATTGTCACATGACGGTCCAGCAGTGAGGGGAGGGGAAGAGGAGGAGGAAGAAGAGGTAGGTCAGGCAAGAACTGAACTGGTCAGACTGCAGATGGACAAACGGAGGCTTGAGGCCCGCCACCACAGACTGGGCCGCAAACTCATGGAGACTCGCACCAAGAAATCACAGCTACAGACGGTAGAGACCATTCACTCCTTGCTTATATATATAGTGCCATTTCACGTCTCTCTCTCTCTCTCTCGGTGTCTCTTGTTAGAGGTGTCAGTGAGTGGGAGGCTCCACCCACACCAGGTGGAGCTGTGTGCAGCTCTGCAGCTGTGCGGCGAGCTGGAGGAAGAGGGGAGACAGAGGGAGCTGGCCGGAGCCCAGGCCTCTCTCCAGCTCCATCGCAGGGAGACCACTCTGGAGGGGCTCCTGGTCCTCAACCACCAGCTCATCGCTGCTCTACACCAGTACAAGACACTCCTGGAAGGTATGACATCGTCGTTTCCACTACACCTCATCCTTTGCGTGACGTTCACCTAGTGTGGTAGTGACATCAGACGTGTTTTGGCTGTACGCATATATATAGGTGCTCTCACTATAGTTCAATGTAAATAGAAAATTTCACTTGCACTTGCTCACCAAATTGTTTTGCAATGTTTTGACTCCTTATCTCCCGCTTTCTCTCTCTCTCTCTGGTCGTGCAGAGAGAGTTTGTGTCACCGCCAGCAGGGGACAGACTGCCACCTCTGGAGCCCCTCCTGTCTCGCAGTTCCAACCTCACTTGGCACGCCGAGAGAGAGAGAAGACTGCCGGTGGCCGGCCGAGCTCTCCAGCTGCCCACCTTCTCTGCCTTCTCCGCCAGAGTCTGCTCCACTGCCATGGCTGGTTAGACCTTAACAACTGAGATCTAGTCAAGTTCTATATAGCTACTGTCCTTATTAGAGTAAATGTCGTAGCAATGAGGCAGACTTCATGACAACTACAGTACATGTATGTGCAGGGTCAAAGTCCAACCTGCTGGTGGAAGACGTGACAGACGGAGAAGAAGAGGAAGTGGGAGGAGCTTCAATCACTGACACCAGGTCAGTGTCCTAATTAGAGCCAACCTTGTCCCTTACACCTGCCTCTCTCTCTCATTCAGTGACGTGCCTCTCTCTTCCCTCCCACAAGACTCGCTGGGCACCCTCCCCCTCTTCTCCTGCCCCTTACTCCTGCCCACAATCCCCGTCAGCACCTCCCTCACCTCCCCCTGCACCACTCACACTCCTCACAATGTCATCTTCCCCAACCCCTCCCTCCCGGCTGCCTTCTCCCGCTCCAACATTCCTCTCAACAAGTGTAGATTCTGCAACCACACCCCTACTCCACCCACTCCACCCTTACACCTTGCTCCACCTCAATCCGGGACAGAGTCTGCCGTCCCATCCTCAAAACGGACATCAGTACAACTATACTCTGATACAGACTCTGTTGTCCAACCAACATCCATTCAACTTCAATCCAGGACAGAGACTGTCGTCCCATCCACAAATCGGACGTCCAGTGAAGCGACATCTGCCGCAGAGACTGCTGTCCAATCCCACAAAACGGACGTCCATTCTGTCCAAAGTGGGCCTCAATGCTGCGCGGATCTCAGTCTCTCGAAGCTCCGTAAACAAGAGCAAATATGTCGTGAATGACAAGTCCCCTCTACTGACTGAAGACTGCCACACCGAGGGTAGTGTGAAGACTGACACAATGGCTATAGATAGTAGCAACGAGTCTCCAGTGCTAAAACTCCCGTCATCCACACAGCAGTTGCAAGAGCCTCACGCCAGCTCTTCGAATGAGGAACCACTGGTCCCAACTACAGCTGAGAGCAAATCTCTAAAACTTCCAGCTGCTTCAATGATGCCGAGAGGAGGTCCACCTGCAGAGAGTGAGACAGACGAGAGGAAAGAGCTCCAGCAGAGTGTGTCGCAGCTCTCTCTCACTCACAGCACACACGGGAAGACAAGGAGCGGAGTTGCCGGGAGACGAGGAACGAGAATTCTCCGAGCAAACAAACCTCCAACAATCCCAGTGGTCAAGGCAACAGAACAGAGAGCCAAGAGGGAATCCCTGCCCATTAAAACTGTCGACAGGACTCGCCAGTCCACCATGCTGCCCAAGAGAAGACAGCAGCGAGAGAGACAGACTCTTGTCCCCTCTAAAGGTATGTATACACCCGCAATCTTCCTCTCTCTCAATCTTGTTCTATTTCAGTCATAGCAGGTGGTAGTCACGTGAATGCCTCACCGTACCTTAAAACAACAGCAACCGGCAAATTTGAAGCCAAGAAAAGTAAGTTTAAGTACAGGAGATGATGATAGTCACACTCACACTCTCTCCCCCATCATGTTTCTACAGTTGTGTTCAAGAGGACGAATCCGTCCAACCAGGTGCCAAAGTTTAAATCTCCCTACCACGTTTCCATGGCCAAGACCAACAAGACCAAGAAATGAAAACATTTTGTACTTTTCGTCCTGGGAATTTTTTCTTTCTGCATTTTAATATAGACCCTGTGAATGCGCATGCGCACCTCTGCGTTTTTAGGCGCGCGGACGAATAACCCGTTTTTCACTGAATTTTGTAACGTCAAGAAAACGTTGATCCTCCATCAGCTCTCTAGAGGTCTCCATTGCCTCGGTATCCTGTGTACAGTACAGTGTGTGAACAGCGCGATGGCGAAACATCATCCTGACCTCATCATGTGTAGGAAACAGCCCGGAGTCGGTAAGTAAGCCTGTAGCTGGAAGAATATTATGCAGATCCCTACACAATTAACCAAACCTCTCCCTCAGCCATTGGTCGACTGTGCGAAAAGTGTGACGGCAAGTGCGTGGTGTGTGATTCGTACGTGCGGCCGTGCACGCTGGTCCGCATCTGCGACGAGTGTAACTACGGCTCCTACCAAGGGCGCTGCACCATCTGCGGAGGACCCGGCGTCTCGGACGCCTACTACTGCAAGGAGTGTACCATACAGGAGAAAGACGTACGTCTCTTCCCCATTCTATGTGTGCGAGATTGGTTTGTGTTCTGTTTTTCTGTAGAGAGATGGGTGTCCCAAGATTGTCAATCTCGGCAGCTCAAAAACTGACCTCTTCTATGAAAGAAAGAAGTATGGCTTCAAGAAAAGATGACTCAGTCACTAGCCTAATCTCTATGCTTTTTTCTGTTCTCTGCCGCTTCCTTGTAATGCATTCTGCTATTGGCCGTCCAATCCTGAAATTGGGCGTCCGATGCGCGAGTTTGAAATCGAGGTGCGCGTCAATTGGGGAAAAGGGCAGCATGCAGAAGTCCAAGCAGGCCACGTTGTTTCGCTCCTGGGGAGGCAAGAAGCCGCTGAGCGATGGAAATGCACGGTACAGAGGCAAAGGAAAGGCGCCAGCTCGTTGGAGCGGCAAAAACCCACCGTGTCAAGACGCTAGCGCGAAAAATGCACCATCAACATCTTATTCTTCAAACAACGCGGTATTTGTGGACCTCACCGAGGGAGAAGAGTTCGGATTCAAAGACGTCCAGGAGTTGGACCGATTCTTCGAGGATGACGTCACGGAGGAGATCGGGGGGGAGAGAGCAGCCGTCGCCGAGCCAGCGACCTCAGCTCACAACTCCTCCGTCCTGGAAGAGGTCCCGGGATTCGATCACGCCGCGGGGGAGCAGTGGATCTACCCGATCAACTACCCAGTCAGAGACTACCAGTTCAATATCGTCCAAAAATGTCTGTTCAGGAACACGCTGGTTTGCCTGCCGACTGGTCTGGGAAAGACGTTTATTGCTGCCGTGGTAATGTTCAACTTCTACCGCTGGTATCCGGCGGGGAAGGTGGTGTTCATGGCCCCCACGAAGCCTCTGGTCACCCAGCAGATTGAGGCCTGTCACAACATCATGGGAATTCCTCAGATGCACCTGGCTGAAATGACTGGTGAGTGACTCAAACACCGGCTCAGAGAAAACTTCAATTGGGCTACAACGGAAGTGAGTAACCAATGCATACTAGCTGTACCACACTGAGACTTGTGAAAATTTCTCTAAGCTAAAACTGAGGATCCTTTTCTTTCTGCGTATATAGCTACTGTAGTTGGAATGGCTATAGCATGGTAATAGATGAATACTGTAGTGGTGTATAAGGCATATATAGTATTTGTGTGGTGTGGAGGAATGCATACATAGTGATAAAAAACTAACCTTCTTAACATTGGTATGGGGATGGAAACCTGCAATTGTGAGTTGTCCTTGTTCTTCATGTATTGCCTCCTATTGAAGATAAACTCCGAACAGTTGCAGTCAATTTGATCATTGCACTCATCTAGCTATGGGGAGGTGTTTTCGGCCTCAATTGTGTGCTAACCTTTGCATGTGTCAACTACGAAAGGCAAAGGCACAACAAACAAGTCCCACCCGGGACAGACTGTTTTCCAAGGGTCATTCTAACCCATCACTCTGCACTATAGACGAGCACTGTACCAACTGAGCTACAAAGGTAACTCAGCTGAGAGGGGTTCGAATCTTCAACAGAATACAACACAAAGGCAAAGGGCATTGGACCTTGTACATGTGTCAACAACTAGATAGCGAGGTAGACAGGCAAGGCAAAGCAAAGAAGTCAATAGCTATACCTAGGATAGCTCTTTCTTTTCAAGAAATCTACAACAAAACACTGTAGCGTTTTGCGTACGCGTGGCGTAGTTCACAGTTCAGAGATTCTAGACACGACTGAATGATTAAAAGTGTGCACACAGATTTATAAAGACAGGAAGTGATTCTCACGCATGCGCCCTAGTACTGCTACGTACAACAACACGGTAAGTAAGTGACCTACTACAACATGACTCATGCATACACAATAGTACATAAACCCAACTAAGCAATACATCAAATACCTCACAGTTCCTCCCCTCTAAGTGAAAGCAAGTCATTGATAGCGGTCGGGAGGATGTCTGTCTCGAGTTGATCTTCTGAGTCCCTCGGCCACAGTGTCCGATGGCTGAGACTCCACCTGTTCGGGTTCTTGTTGCAACTCTTGCTCTGAATCATAGTCGGTCGTGGGTGCATGAAATTATAGTTCATAGCATACCAGCCATAGGTATATAGATAGATAGATACGATACCCGTCGTAGCTTGTGGGGTTACCCGGTATTTGAACAGGAACCTAGAAAGTCTCACTTCCTTCCAGTGTTCCAGTCAGCTTCTGGACTCCTGTCTTCACCGTTTGGACCGCTCGCTCCGCAAGTCCGTTCGATGAAGGGTGGTACGGTGTAGAGCGCAAATGTTCTATGCCATTACGGAATTTACTCGAAGTGAATGCTGGGCCATTATCAGAGACCACCGTCTGTGGGAGACCGTGAGTGGCAAATGTCACACATAGTTTTTCGATAGTCGCTGCTGACGATGTAGATGAGACGATGTGCGTGTCGATCCATTTTGAATGTGCGTCCACGATGATGAGCAGTGTTTTCCCCAATACTGGGCCTGCATGATCAATGTGCAACCGAGCCCAGGGCTTCTCGGGCCACTCCCAGGGATGTATTGGGGACTTTGCAGGCGCTTTCTGAGTTGACTGACACACAAGACATTTCCTGACCTTCTGCTCGAGATCGGCGCCTAGGCCAGGCCACCAGACATAGCCCCTCATCGTCGGCCATAAACATGCACTTCTCCCTCTTCAGACGTACACCCGCATTCTCCAGGCGAGTCAACACCTCGTCCAACATACGTAGGTGTTCTTCCTCCGTCTTGCCCGTAACGAGAATGTCGTCGATATATACCGTAACGTGGTCCAGGCCTTGTAGGAGATTGTCCATCGTCCGCTGAAAGATGGCTGGTGCCGACGTGATTCCAAAGGGCATCCTTGTGTACTCAAACAGGCCTTTGTGTGTGTTTACGACAAGATACTCTCTTGCTGAGTCTGCTAACTGGAGCTGCAAGTACGCATGTGATAAGTGGAGCTTTGAGAAGGAGATACCACCAGACATAGCGACAAAGATATCCTCACTACGAGGGATAGGATGGGTGTCGCAGATCATCACTTTGTTCGCCGACACTTTGTAGTCTCCGCAGAGTCGAACGGAGCCATCGTTTTTGGGTACTGCCACGATTGGCGCTGCCCATTGCGAGAACTGGCGAGGACATATGATGCCCTCTCGTTGCAGCCGCTCTAGCTCTGTTTCCACCTTCTGCTTCAGTGCAAATGGTACGGGTCGAGGTCTGTGGAAGGATGGTGGTACTTGCGGATTGACATGAATTTCTGCTTTCGCACAGGTGATTGTTCCCAGTTCGTTCTTGAATACGGCTCGGTTGTCATTTAGAACCGCTGCTAGTGCAGGAGACTCTCGGACTTAATACGTGTTCTTCCAATCTAGCCGTAGCTCTGTGAGCCAGTCTCTCCCCAACAAACTTGGCCCATTCCCCTTCGTGACGAGAAGTGGGAGTCGTCTCTGCTGCTGGTCTCCCTGACGTACCTCCACCTCCAATGCACCCTTCACTAGTATCTCTTCCCCAGTGTAGGTTTTCAGCCTAGCTTTTGACTGACCGAGAGGAGGCCGTTTGTTTCCCCACATCTGGCGGTAAGTGACTTCGCTGATTACGGATAGCGTTGCCCCCGTGTCCACCTCCATTCGAAGAGGTTCACCGTTGATGGTCAGCGTGATACCGATCGGGTCGTAGATCTTGCTTCGCAGTGGAAACATGTTGTACACGTTACTCTCCCCATCTTCCGGGATTTTCTGTATTTTCTGTGCATACTCTGCGAATGTGCCCCTTTTTCCCACAATGGTTGCAGGTGGCGTCTTTGTGCCTACATGAGGTGGCCTTGTGGTTACCACCGCACCTATAACAGTTTTGATAGCTGTCCCTGCGGGTTTCCCCACCAGGGGCAGTCCTATGTATATACACTCTCAGGCGACGCCTTGTGTACATTCTCAGGCACCACCCTGTCCCCTTTAAGTTCCTCGGAATCCCTATCCACCATCTCCATTGCCAGGGCCGTTTTCAGCGCCTTGTCGAAGTCCAACTCTGCTTCGGAGAGTAGCCGCCGTTGGATGCGAGGGTCGTTGATGCGACAGATGAGACGGTCGCGCAGCATCACGTTGAAGGAATCGCCGAATCCGCAGTCGATGGCGAGATGTCGTAGCGCTGCCACGTACTTTGCGATAGATTCTCCTCGCTCCCGCGCCCGCGAGTTGAACTTGTATCGGTAGACCGCCACTCCTTGCTTCGGGTTGAAGTGAGTCTTCAGGCACTTCACCACGTCCGCGTAGCTGGTCCCGCTCGGCTTCTGCGGCGCGGAGGAGGTCTCGTAAAATGTGGTACGTCTTCACACCACAGATGCTCAGGAGACGTCACGTTTCTGACTCGCGTCTGTTATCTTGTTCGCTGCGAGGTAGAGCTCCACTCTCTCTACGTACGTCTCCCAGCCTTCTTCGGAACTACAAACGCCCCTATCGAGCCGTGTGCCATCGTTGCCATATCCGATTCCTCGTCGCCAGAATGTAGCGTTTGCGTACGCGTGGCGTAGTTCACAGTTCAGAGATTATAAAAGTGTGCACACAGATTTATAAAGACAGGAAGTGATTCTCACGCATGCGCCCTAGTACTGCTACGTACAACAACACGGTATATTATAGTAAATATATACATCAAATACCTCACAACTCTGTGTTCTCTCTTACTGGTGTGTTTGACAACAATAATACTAATAATAGCAATGCTATACCGCAAGGTGAGTTTATTCTTCAGTCAGCTAAGCGTTAAATATACATCACACACCCAAAATCACCAAGATCCGTTTTTTAACCGGCCAGAGGAGACGGTTTTAATAACCAGTAGCCAGCCAGAGCTGACGGCAGACGTGGCTTGGGTTAGGGATCTGATGATACGTTGGTTGCTGGCTGTTGGAAACGCGAAAGTAGAGAGTGCAAATTCTCAGCTATGTGCTGGTTACGAGGTACGTTGATAAATAGCTAGATATAAATCGCCATAACTATAGCTAAAGGTGCGCGACGCCCCCCCAGGTCCTACCCTTTAGGTAATGTGCGCTGTGTTGGTAAAACGATAGTAAAACAAGGAATACTTGTGGATTCACTACGCCTCTGCTGTTTACTTTTCACAGGTTCAAGATCACTAATTACGAGATCCAAGATGATAGAAGATTCATTCAGCATAGCATGGATTTAGCTACAACAGCATTATTCTGCTCTTCGCTTTGACTCTCGGTAGACAGTTGGTAGCCAATCTCGACACCATCTATAGGGAACTTAGTCCGAACAAATTTGCTGGAAATTCTCAGCACCTTTGAATATATGAAAATTTAGCAAGAATTCAGGGAATTTAATTATTGTTTCCTCTAACCGTTTTTCATAAAATGCTTAGTTCAAATTCACCCTTCAAAATTGAAAGCATCTTTCCAGGTTTTAAAGTGTGCAGGGCATTACTAATGCCGTGAAAACCTAAGATTAGAAACACTAAATGTTGTTTTGCCTACATTCCCATTAATGTATATATACTTGCAGATAAGAGGAGTCTGGAGGAGAGTTTCCCCCACCACAATATGGTGTTCATCCTTTTGTTCCAATTACTGGTTACGTCTAGCTACTCCCTAGCCATACCCTCCCTTTACAAGTTCGTTACAACTCCAACCGAACTGCCAGATGAGCTGGTGTGCTCAGAGGTGAATATGGATTCTTGGTATATAGCTAATGGTTTTTTTGCCAACATTGACAACCAGCGCATGCCACGGTAGCTATGTAATTTCACTCCCCACAGGGTGGCAAGTTCTGGCCTGGTCTAGGAGGATCTGACTCTGACTATGCCTGGGTAGTAATGTCCTACAGCCTTTTTGGAATGGTAGCTGCACCAGTCGCTGGGATGCTCCTTCACCGACTTCCATTCACCATCACAATGATCTCCTTTAGCATCCTCCTGGTTACTGGCGGAATGGTGTATGCTCTGGCAAGGTCTGTGTGGATGGCATTTGTTGGCTATGGTCTGACTGGAGCTGGGTGGATCCTTTGGCACCATTACTATCCACACATACATGGGAGAGATGGGCGACATAATGGATGACATCAGAAAGAAACAGGGGAAGAAACCCAGAAAGTTTCTGTTGTACAATATCTACTCGTTCACAATGACAGGAGGCTTTGTGTTACCATTTTGTAAGAGCGCTATCTTCTACTCCATCTTTATCATTTTGTGTTGTTTCTTTCTCTTTCCAGTATAAACTCTGCCATGGCAGAGTTTGATATTTCTCCCTACCACTGGCCTGGATGGCTGCTGGCTGCCCTAACTGCCACTGTTGCCTCTATCAGCCTTATTGGTTTTGTTGAGACTCGCTCAATGCCGCGGGCTAAAGCATTCTGCCCTTCTGTTGCATGTCTGAAGATGGAAACCAAGTTAAGAAGTAGGGTCAAAAAGACCAGCTGCACAGTATCCTCTATTCTAAGCCAGTAATAATTAATTTTTTCCCGAAACCATGTCATTTTCCATTCTTTCTCCACTGAATTTACCACTTAGCTCTATACTATTGCTCTCTGTCTTTGACTCTCTGTGTTATGGCATATATACCCTTAGCCAGTTTTGTAGTCCTACCTGTTTTTGGTTGGATGTTCCTTTCTTATTGGAGCTAGCTACACCATCTTTACCAGCCTCATCACTCCTGTTCTGAGTGACCAGTTTGGGTTCAGCATCAAGTACACATCGTACTTTTTCGTTGTAGTATCTACTGCATACTTTGGAAGCAGTATTTTACAGTGAGTACACTGGCAGTTCAGTTGTTTTTATGTTTACTTCTTGTGCATGTCAGGCTAGGGGCCAAGTTGGCAGGTGTTGGTAACAGGAATATACTGGGATTGAGTCTTGTTCTGGTTCTGGCTGGATCTCTCCTGTTTGGTGACTGGCAGTCCATTGGACCTGACCCCTGTACCTCCTTCTCCTCTAATGCCACTGAGAGAGACTGTGGGGAGATATCCTCTGTCTTTGGATCTGGTAGTGGAGCAGGAGACGAGGCATTCCCAGTAGGACTCTCTGCTGCCAACACAACAGCCGTCCAGGAGCTGGTGGAAGGTTGCCAGGCTCTCAGTGGGCCCAGTAATGCCTGTTTCTGGAACCGACACTCTCGAGTCACTGGAGATTACTGCACTGAGTGTTTGGGGACATGTCTGAGCACAGAAAGGTCTCAGAACATCTACCAGCTGAGCTTGGCTGTCATTATCCTCTCCATTGGTGCACCTCTTGGTTTCACCTTTGTCCCTGCCATTGCATCAGACATAACGCCTCTGAATTCCCAGGTATAGCACTGTATTTATTGCAACAAACTAGGTTATATTTCCTGCAGGGAATAGTAATAAGCGTGATGCTCGGTGTTGGATTGTTGACAAGAGCAGTCACCCCTTTTTTGTGTAAGGTTATAATTATACTTTATGGTGATTACTGTATTTACAGTATTTATACTCTAGATATTCAGAGCTATGAGGTGACAGGGAGACACACCTACTTTGCCATGGCTATTGTGTCTGGGTGTGCAGTACTACTCCTCCTGTCACTGCTGGCTCTCTACAAGAGGCTGGCTCCCATTCCAAAGACAAATGCCGTAGCCATCAGTGTAACGGGAAAACTCGGTTTTGAGGTTGAATAATTTTAATATGGACTTTCATGCAGTTTGTAATTTTGCAGTGAAATGTTAAAAACAACCTTATACGTTAGCTACTATACACTGGGCCATAATTTATCCCACAAAGACGATAATAGTTGTTAAACTCTTTTCTGGGTGTGTGTGTGCAGCACATTACCTGGGAGGGTGGGAGGGACCGTTGATAATTCAACCTCACCTTCCTCATGCAACTCTGAATAGCTTGCAACCACTGCGTGGTCTGAGCCATTCTCGAATTGTGTTCCGGAAGGCTCGGTCTCCATATCAACGGTGTTGTTTGTAGCAAGCCTACTAGAAGATCATACTCTCTGTGCTAATTCATACTCAATTGATAGACTGAATAATTACGAAACTGTCAGATTGGGTCGGGTTGCGCATAATGATCACAGTGTATCTCCTTCATTAACTGTAGCATCCCCCGTAATCGGGGGAGCTCTGAAAACTAATACCTATTGTAAGTGTATTTTACGCATTAATAGGTCAACTTACTCGTGTGCTCAACAAACGCTGTATGAGTTATTTCGCCATCACTGCTACATCGTACATTAGTGGGTTTACTGAAGACACTCTCAGTGTCAGACACTACTAGTGTACCATTCACCACTGATCCCTCACTGGCTGGCGAGTTGCCTATCAGGAACGTGGCATCAGTAGCTATCACTCCGTCAATGATGCACTCAATACACGCAGTTCCAGAGGGAACATAGACAGTGACTGTATTTGACAGTATTGCTACAGTTACAGTACAATTCTCTGGTCCTAGCTGGGTAGAGCTCACTGGTTAGAAACACCAACCTATTAATCCATCATCATGACTATACACACTGCCTTACCACAGCTCCACCAGACACAGACGACCAACAATCCTCGGACACGGAGGAGAAGCATTACCGCCGCTTAGCGCGATAAAATAATATTGGCGCATGCGCAAATGGTTAGTGGCAGAGGAATTTCTGTGACACCTGTGCTGTCCAAACTACTGGAGACGCTCATACTGGGCAGGTTAATTCCCAATATTCGAAGATCTGAATATCCCAAATATCAATCCAACTGGGTATCGCAAGCATGTTTCCTGCACTGATGCCATTTTCACCACCACAGAAGTGCATGTTTTCACACTACCTTCACGAGTCTGAGACAACTTACCCATGTTGTTATGATCTACAAAAGGCGTTGGACTCAGTTGAGTATGGTGTCCTACTGTGTCGTCTCTCTGATGCTGGTATTGATGCCAAGCCCTGGAGACTTGTTCGTGCATGGTACCAATCACCACAGGGCATGGTGAAGGTTGGTAGGGAGTTTTCAGCAGCTTTCTCCCTGGGAAGAGGTGTCAGACAGGGCTCAGGTTTATCACCACTGTTGTTTCAGGTCATCATGGACCCACTCCTCAACCAAATGGAGTTAGCAGATCTCGGCATGTCATTCAGAGATGTCTATCTGGGTGCGTCTGCCCATGCCGATGACATCAGGACCTTGACCAGTAGCAAGAAATGTCTGGAAAAGCAAGTGCAAATGGTGAATAACTTCTCACACTCCAGTGGGCTCAGTCTTAATGTGCATAAATGTGAAGTGCTTACCTCAGGTAGCCACACTCAACAATGCACCGACTCAATGACGACAAATATTGATGGACAACATATTTTTGCAAGCAAGGAAGTGAAGTGCTTAGGATATTGGTTGTCATGGGACCTGTCTGCAAAGAAAGCCATTGATGCAAAATCTAGATCGCTCACAGGTATTTGAAGGAAATCTTAACCCACTAAGTGGAAGGTCTCTCTTTGAGGTATGTATTGTACCCATACTATTGTACGACTGTGAAAACTGGCAACGAACCTCAACCCTTTGTCTGCCAGCTGAAATCTTTCCAAGGAGAGAAGAATTCTCAAGCTCACTCCATATCACTCTACTTATTCCTCCAGAGTTGCTCTGCGGTGGCCCTCAGTTGCTGCAAGAATCTTGTCAATGAAGCTTAACTTTATTCTCCATTTAAAGTTAATGGACTCTACAGAATCAATTGCATCAAAGTTGTATATATAATTCCTCTGATCCACTGCACCTCTCCCTCATACATGAGTGCAAATTCCTAGAGGAGCACACTGGACTGGACTCCTACACAGAGAAGGTGCTCTCTGGAGAATTTGATGGTCAAAGAAAAGCCCTTTCCAACGAAATCATGAAACAAGACTGGCGAATAACCTTGGAGAAGAGACACGAAAGAGATAGCACTAGAATTGCAACCCGAATTGCAAATGAAGTCAGTTGGTTGAAGTTATGGGATGCAATGCTTGATGAGGGAGTTCACTGGAACGGTTAGGTTGCAATCCTTGTACAAAGTGATAACATGGCCCAAAGTAGGCAACATCTCGATCAATAATATAATAGCTATATACCCACCTGCTCCCACATCTACTAGAAATCCATCTACAACTGAAAAGCACTGGAAAGTGCATAACCCTCGCCACTTTATTCCTTATTTCAGCAGCCAATGGCTACTAGCTACACTAACTCAGTCTTTTGCACATGCGTGTTCAATACTAGTTACTACTACAGCAAAGTGAAAAGCACTTGACAGTACATGACCCTCACCACTTTATTTCAGCTACTAGCTACACTACATAAATGATTCCTTCACTGAACGGATTCACTGGGCGTGTGCTGCTCTCACTTCACCGGCAATCTCGATTCTACTCAACTACCATCAATAGAGGCAGACCAGCAAATCTTCTCCACACGCGCAACATCTACGCAAGTAGAGGGACCGTTCTATTTGACGCACTATCACCTCGACAGCTGCCCGTTTCACCAGCTTCCCTGGCCTTCTCCGATCCAGAATCTTAGCATGCCTCCTACTTGATTGGCGAGCGGGAGCGAGCCAACCTAGTCGTTCGTTCGGGCGGAATTTCTGTATTATTTATCGTCTTTCGTACGTCGTGTAAGTGCGCATGCGCGGCTTTGTACGCGCTTCTTTTTATCCGAAACTATTTCTAAATGTTTACGCATTTTCACACACGGTGCCTCGCCGATCGACGATCTAGCCAGCTGGAGAACTCTCCTCCATTCGACGGCATGCGCTGCAACCTTCGGTGACTGACCAAGGCTGTACCTCTTCCCAATCTTCATGGTTCCAAGGTGAAACTTGCAAATACGCCTAGGATTGCTCGTGCACGTACTGCTCCATGCCAGCTGCCTGGTGGACCACGACAGACGAGCTGAAAGTACCGTCTGCTCACCTGCTCACCGCTCTGCCAATGTACAATACGCATAGAACGGCGACAGGTAGATCTGTCTTGCTTCACGAAAGGAAAGCTGTGCGCTGACGGCACGTTATACAGCCCGGGAAAATCCCAAGTTGGGTCGCTCCCGCTCGCCAACAATGTTCAACATTTCCACTAGTTGGCGAGCGGGAGCGAGCTAACCTAGTGGTACGAACGGCGCGGAATTTTCCTCATACTATACTATCTACGACCGTACGTCGTCCAACTGCGCATGCTCCAGGATTACGCGCTTCTTTTTAACCGAAAGCATTTCAAATTTTCACATGCTGTGAAGATGTCGTGCACATAATATAGTCCGGGGAAGATGCCCTTCGTCGTCGAAGAGAGTGGGAAAGAGAACATCGTGCCCGTGAGACTCCTGAGCAGAGAGGCTCTTTTGTATCAGCGTCGCTTTCGTGATAGGGAACGCGCGAATTTTTACACTCTGCCTAGCTGTCATATCGATGCGAAATATAGCCAGCCAAAACAACTCTCGTTGGCATTCGCTGGGCTCTTCGAGAGGCTGTCTATACCTCCTTCCAATCTTCGTGATTCTAAGGTGCTAGTTGTAGGATAGCTCGTGCAGATAGAGTCATTGTGTGCTCGCTCCCGCTCGCCAAAAATGCCATGCATTCGCCTACTAGTAATATAATGTCCACGTTTCACGCTCAGAGCTGCCGCGGTTACAGAGAAAAACGGTAGACGGACGGACGGACACACACGCGCACACACACACACACACACAGCACACACACAGCTACAGTACGTACGTACGTACACACAGACAGCAATAACCCTCGCTGCGCATGCGCGCAGGCGAGGTTAACAGTGGTTGGGTTGAGCAGTGCTAACATCACTGTCAACAAAGAGACATCTTACTGGTTGCTAATCAAGTTCACCAATTATAGTTCCTAGCTTTGTTTTACTATATTTCTGTCCTTTTTATTTTCTTTATGTGCTGCCTTTACAGGTGTATGCAATAATAACTATTGAACACGGCATTACTGCCGCTTAGCGCGATAAAAATAATGCGCAAATGGTCAGGGGCGTCGCCTAAACGATTTTGTACCGTGTAAGGCTAGCTAACTTCGTTTCTGTTTATGATATCTGTTTTTTGCTGGTTCTGAGTGACATGATCTCCTTAGGAGTGCAATAAGCCACATTGACATCCATCTCCAACCTCTCTTCTCTTGTCTTCTGCTTCGATCCTGTGTGGGAGTTATGACATAGTTCGGATATTGTTGGAGAGTTTGCAAAGTGTTTCACCTTTCTTTGTAAGAATTACTATTTTCACAAGTGCTCCCACTAGCAGACCAGTTTGAACCAAGACAATGAGAGAGAGAATTATTACTCCAACCTTATATGGTTGAAGAGTAGACGTTTGTCCTGTGTGAGGCACATAAACATGTTTGTAAGAGACAGTTGCAGTGGGACCATCTCTAAACAATAGTAGTTTATTTGGCAACTATCGCAGGGGAAAACAAAACGTTGACCTGGGTCAGTTGCAGACTGTTTTAGAACCCGTTTCCTTTGATCTGCAGTCAGGGCTAGGGTCCCACACTCTAGTACTGGTATATACACTGAGTAGTGTACACATCAGTGGGACCATCTCTACACTGATAGGTAGCACAAACATGACACTACATATCGTGCTGCATTACTACTGCCTAAAACCTTAACACACAACCGACATAAATGGAGAGAGTCATGCAAAACATTAGACTGTGTGTGGGTCCACTTACCATAACACTGTAAGTATGGAATTACGAATGCTGTAATGAATCGAACATTCACGTGTCACTAATATGGACACTTCATTCTGTCCCACTAGTGTCCAGATTAGAGGGGTTCTAAGGACACCCCTGAAATGAATAAGGAAATCTTTCCCTAAGAACAGTTCTTGCATGCAATTTTACCAAGACACCTCACTAATATATATGGACAGTTTCTTCTGTCCCATTGCACACTTCAAGAGGGCCTAAATCAAGTGTAACAGCGTCCCTAAGTAAGGACACCCTTCATTGTTTGTCCCCCAGGTTGTAGCCTGATTACCAAAGCCTGCCCATGAAACCACAACCATGTGCAATAACCTAATTAAGCTTACATCCTTGTTGAAGACAATACACGAGTGATGAATGTGTGATCTAGCCCTGCTGTCAGCGCACTACGCAGCCCCTATTATCTCAACAGTTAGAGTTTGTCTATGGTAGCCTATCTACAACATACCCATGAACATCAGAGTGACTGTAACAATAAAATGCAGTGTTGCCATAAGCTGTTAAAAATAGTGGAAACAAGTGGAAATATCATTTCTTCAAAATGAAGGGGGATATAGGGATGGCTTGAAGCACCAAAAAGGAAGAAACAAGGGGTCATTACACAGCAAAGATGCACAAAGCTATACATGACACCATCCCTATATCTTTGTTTAAGAAAAGGTTAATATCGAACAAAGGATAAGGGATGGTGTCAATGTAGCTTTGAGCATCCTTTGCTGTGTAAGGACCCCTTTTTCTTCCTTTTGGTGCTTTCAAGCAATCCCTATATATCCCCTTCATTTGAAGAATTATTTTTTCCCACTTGATCACTACATATTATTAGAGGACATTGGAGGACATCATAATGGATGACAAGAGAGGCCACTGTCCTCCGGAGGACACGGAGAACACACAGGACATTTTCCTTCGGAGAACATTGGAGGAGGAAGGTAGAAAAAGAGGTAGAAAGAGTGTGTTTACGACCTAGAGTGGTAGCAAGAGGTCTAGGAACAAATTGAATGTTAACAGAAAACAGCTGCTGTGGGCTTTGGCAAAAAAATGAAAAGGCTGCCTGATGCATGCAGCTACAAGTAATCCACAGCTCGCCAAAACACGGCATTTACGAATTTTACAGACTGCAAAATCTTGCTAGTGTGTGATATACACACGATGTACGTCATACTGAACCCATCCTACCAACACTCTACTGTAAATCAGAGACCGTGTTAAAGTGGGCAGGGCACAAGAATTGAACAGGTGTATTTTTGGGTAGGAGACACACATCATTGGTCATGACAACCACCAGTCACCACGGTAACGTTAGTCTATTGGGTAAACGTTGTGAACATGTTAAGGACGAGTATATAGAATGGAGTAATAGGCAATCGGCTACTCTTTGAAGCACACAGTTGTGTGGAGTGACCGACTAGGTACCACAGACCTCAGCGAAGTTTGTAGCGCAGTGTGTGTGTTTGTTTCGCTGTGACTCACTGCTAGTAACAGTTGGAGGATAAACAGTTGCTAATCTCCAGAGTGGCACTTTTGTGACATCAAAAGGTTGTGAGGCTGCGAGAATAGAGTGTAAGAAGTGCGTAAGGGCAGCACAGAGGCATTATTCTTACGAGGCAGCACTCAGGCTACGTATTAGTTTACGTGTAGGCGGCGAGGCGGGTCGGTACATACAGGAGATACTACTCGAGCTGTGACTATACTGGACGAGGGCGTACCCGAAGCCGGTATTACTAGTAAGCGAGTTTGAGGATATCCTGTACGCACTGACGTTCACTGATTGTAGTCCAACTAGCCAATCACAATGCTGAATTTCTGCTGGTCATCTGTATATGTGTAAACTTTGGAGTGGAAGCCAGACAATGTGGGACTATGCCTAGCGCTAGATGGACTTCAGTTTTGCACGTTCAGCACGGAAGAGAGGACGCGAAGCTCGTCGAGCGCCCTTCCAGCAGCGGTTTGTGTCAACGTCTCGAGTTTTTATTTTTTTATTTTTTATATATACGTCACACGACGTTGATATTATATACAGTATGATGCAGGATAAATAAGAGATAGAGCAGCACTTTAGAGTGATACACGGTGTGTTTCCGAGATGATCAAATCGCTCGCCATGGGCATGTCTACGATGGCATGTCCGCTGATGATCCTTGCCACACCTGATGGCCTGATAGCGGGAGCGTAATAAAAGGGAGAAGTGCTAGACGACACACGTAGCCAGCGGAGAGTGTGGCTGTAGGTGTGGTCCCTACTTGGAGGCGAGCATGAGAGCGAGTCTGTGTAGGAAGTGGTGGCCTCCTGCAGCCACCGTAATCAGAGAGCTACCAGAGCGTGAAGGTTGCATGTTCACTTTCTCTTATCGTGCGTGTTCATATGCACGCTCTCTTGCATTGTCGTGCTTCTGTATACTGTACTGACTGCAGGGTTGGTGGTGCGTCTGTTTGCAGCTGCGCATGGGATTATTACATATACCCTAACGTCGAGTAGGTTCTCTCGAAGGTATCCACAGACACCATTTGCAGCGATAGTCAAGGCGGGCGGCACTCTGGGAGGTGGCAGTTGACCCGTCAATTCTCACGTTCACAGTCGAGCTCTGCTCAATGACACACGTCCTTGCACACTTCTGGGGAGGGTAGCTGTCAGGTCCCGTATCTCATTGTGCCTGATCGATGGAACGCCGCCCTTGCACGGACAGAGCATGCTCAACTGACGCGGCACCACAGATACATTTCGATAGGAGTCTCTTTTCTGTGTCCAGCCGTTACCGTAATGCCATGGCATCGTGAAAGCTCCTTGTGCAGGGCAAAGCCATGCTCTGAAAGTGGCAGGCAGTGAGCCAAGTGGAGGATCCTTTCTCGCTTGCTAGTTCCGACCTCTGCAGGATTTTGTGCTGGTAAAAGTTCTAGCACATCGCCGGCGGCTTTTGAACGATTTTCCTTGTTTCTATTTTCTAACAATGGCCTGGATTCCAATTGCTGGGCAATGACTTCATACCCGTAGCGCCGCATCTGGTAGTGTGTGATGTGGTCTTGCGGGCAGAGGTAACCAGTAGGATGACTGATCGTTCCTGGTCGGCTTGAGTGGAAGGGACTGTTATTCCAGTCCCCATTCGTGCGGGCAGGGCAAACTGGCACACTCAGGTCCCTAATGTGGGGCCTTCCCGTGCAGTGTGGCATGAGTCGGTACGCAAGATGTCATCGAGCGGCTTTAGTAGGTTGCTGATATTGGAACTGTGCGACATAGGTAGGTTCACGTGCTTGAGAGACCAGGTGTGAGAGCCGAGCGTCGCTGGCATGTGGGTGAGCTCTTTGCTATTGTTGTTCAGGTTGCGCACCACATGGATAGCCAGGAGTCAACCCTCGACTTCACATAAATCTCCACGTAGCGGCTCGAGTATCCAACTGCTGCACCTAGATATGTGTCTGGCCATCGGAGGTCAACATTCACCCCTGTGCCGCAAGGTAGAGAGCCCAGTAGTGTGGACACCTTCCTTTTTTACTAACCTCCGTCTTGGATGGATTTGGGAAAGTAGCCGAAGTCAGTTCCTTCTCTGTCAAAAGTTCCCACCACACACGCAGCTGCTAGCTTCCTACGAGGCCTACATCTTCTCCTGCATACCGAATCTGCTTGCAGTTGCCCTTCACTTTTTTGATAAGCAGGCTGTGGCGAGGCCTACTGGCATGTGCTAGTGGGTCCCCGCTTTGGTGGCCGTACTTCTTGGGAAGTAGAGTGTCGCCATCCACGAACAGTATCTGTGATGCTCTGTATGTGTTGATGAGTATGGGTGCGAGTGGGGACAGAGCCTTCTGATGTTATGAAGAGCAACCTGACGGTTCAAGGATTGAATGCGTGGTGGCGTCAACCAGGAGGACTGCTTCAGTGTCACTGGAGTGCAAAGGCGGTCTCACGGCATGCACTGCTGCTTCGATGCCAGAATCTGTCCTCCACACAGCTGAGACAGCCCGAGCTTCCTGATGTCGGTTTCAGTGACTGACAGCACGGCTTTGGCTAAGATCGCCGCACAGTATCCCCAATGCCTATTGGTCGGACACCAGGGTTCTTGCTTAGGGCAATGAGCGGCAGAGGCCAGAAGTAGGTGATATCGATTTTGGGTCGACATATGAGGTGCCTATTCTTCTTGCGACTAGGGCTAATGAGTGCATAGTTCACTTGAAGCCCCTTTGAAAGATGTACATAGTCTCCTCCACCCATGTGCATCTACAGATGGTCCGGCAGACCCAGTGATGTTATCGAAAGCTGAGCGAATGACACTGGCTCGATCGACTCGAAGATCACAGGATGTGCCTCTGAGGGGAGATTGAAGGATGCAGTTGGAATTGGCAGTCTGGCCTGTTTGGATGCTAATGAGCAGCAACTCCGGACATTAGGAGAGTCGTAGTTGGATCTATGTGTT